CCTTTGCCGCCCTTGCTTGGACCTGTCACTCCCCAGTCTGGAAACTTGGGTTCGGGGGCAGTCGAGAATCTCATGCGTGGGACCCGGGTCCGGACGGGCCTCAGATTGAGTCTCAGTCCTCTACCCACCTTGTGCTCGTGCTTTCCGGCCTGCGCCCCAGTATCTTTTCTTTTTTCTTTGGGGACATAGTAGTGTTGCGTTGGAGATGAGGGAGTTGGGAAGAAGTCAGTCACTAGTAACTGGCCGTGCACATCACGGGGTTGTGCACAGAGGAAGTGCTGATGCTTAGTTACTAACGATCACACAGTCCGAGAAGGGCAGGTAGGGATGCATTGGGAAATTTGGGTTTTCCCTAGATTCTTGGGTCTAAAGTGGGAGTAAACTACTTCGGAGAGTTGTTAGAGGGAGATAACTGCTTTTGCGGTCCTTATTTATCTATGAAGTAAAGGTTCACCGCCGTTATTACTTAGAGCTTGCCACTGGCTTATTTTTTATTATCCTCCCGGTAAGGGAGTCCATTGTTTTGCTTTGGGGAGGGGGTATACTGGAGAACCCAGGGGCTCTCTGCCACTGAGCTACATTCCCCACCCTGTTTATTTTCAGTGTCTCTCTGTTGCCCATGCTGGCCTCAAAATTGCCAGCCTGCTGTCTCAGCTGGGATTTCAGGCATATGTTATGTCCTTCCAAAGATACAGCTTGTAACGACTTAAAATTTTGGGTGGCTACTGTACTAAGATCCGTAGAGGTTCTGTGGTCTTCATTCAGATGGTGCCCACCTTACAGAGAGGGCTCAGAACTGACATGGATTTGAGCTCTTGTCCCCAGAGCCTGGGTCCCTGCTCAGTCTGGAAAATAAGTAACAACTGAGGCTGTCTATGAAGTGAGTGGAGGATCAGATTCAGAACTGGAACCATGGCTTCCCCTTACCCCTATAGGGAGTCGACATACGCCATAACAAGGACCGAAAGGTTCGGCGCAAGGAGCCCAAGAGCCAGGACATCTACCTAAGGCTGTTGGTCAAGGTGAGGTTGGGTCTGAGATCCTTGGGCAGGGCTACCCCAGGTCTGGATTGAGTATATCTTGGAATGGGGAGGGGATGTTCTGTGTCCCTGGCCAGGAAGGGGTGGGGTGGGGGAGTTGCCCTTGCCTGGACCTGTCACTCCCCAATCTGGAAATTTGAGTTCTGAGACAGTCGAGCATCTTGAGGGTTGGGGAGCCTTTTTACCCTGAATCATTTGTTCCTTCACTTGAAAGTGGGGGGTGCTGCTGCTGGCTACACCACATTCTCACTGTCTTCCCGATCCTCTACAGTTGTACAGGTTTCTGGCTAGACGAACCAATTCTACCTTCAACCAAGTGGTACTGAAGAGGTTGTTCATGAGTCGCACCAACAGGCCACCTCTCTCCCTCTCCCGGATGGTGAGTGTCTGGGCCAGGGGCTGGCTCTGGAGGGGGTGCTGGAGCATCCCCTGAGTCCAGGCAGCCAGCAGTGGTTGCCCAGCTCTGAACCTCAGTCAAAATCAAGTGTCTGTGGACAGCTGGCCCAGCGTCTTAGCCTTACTTTACCTCGCCACGGGAGGGTTGTAGTGGCTTCATGGGGTTGTCTGAGCTTTCAAGTTTCATGTATCTCTGGGGGTCGGGGTTTAGTGGTAGAATGCTTGCCTAGCATGCCAGGTCCTAGGTTTCGTCCCTAGCACACACCTTCACCAGGTGAGATGTCTCTGTTTGGACTTTTTCTTCTGTTCTAGTTGGGAGGTGAGGTATGGGCAGGTTAGTCCATTTGGAGGGCACAGCCATCCGGGTCCTTGGGATGCCCGAAGTGGGGGATGGGATTTAAACACCAGAACAACTTTTCGTATTCCTCTCAAGATCCGGAAGATGAAGCTTCCTGGCCGAGAAAACAAAACAGCTGTGGTCGTGGGGACCATAACAGATGATGTTCGTGTTCAGGAGGTGCCCAAACTGAAGGTGAGTGGAGCTTGGGGCTCTGGCTCAGGAAACTGCTCTCAGACCTGACCCAATTTCTTGCTGTGTTGTATGCCACCTCTGTCACTCTTGTGGGTGGGACCACCACCACACTTGTCCTGGTGGCCTTTAGGATAGGATGGAGTGGTCGTCTGTGGTGGAAGTCCTCGGCAAGCCCCTCTGGGCTCCGCTGTAGACTGCTGGCTGCTGGTTCTGGGGTGAGCCTGTGCTCAAGTCTGAATTTTTTTCTTTTGCCGCTTTTGTCATTTGCATACCACATCCTTAAATCATGCTTTCCCCAGTTTCCTTATTCCTCCAAAATACATGAGACGTGGTCTGGAGGTTCTGAGAGGTTAAGGGTTTGGGGCTGGGGCTCTGGTGGAGCACTTGCTGGCACAGGTGAGGCACTGAGTTCCATCCCCAGCACCACATTAAAAAAAAAAAAAGCAGCTGTCAATCCAGGAAGCTCCTGGTGGTGGTACCAGCAGCCACACTTGTGCTGGGCCGGGGCAGTGGATGCAGTCCCTAGGTCTCCCTACAGGAGATTTGAGCCCCTCCCTCCTGTTTTCCCCAGGTGTGCGCACTGCGGGTGACCAGCCGAGCCCGTACCCGAATCCTCAAGGCTGGGGGCAAGATCCTCACCTTTGACCAACTGGCCCTGGACTCCCCCAAGGGCCGTGGCACGGTCCTGCTGTCTGGTAAGTGATGCCTGCTGGCACCTGTCGGGGTTTGGTGAGGTGCACTGGCCTTCACCCTCCTGGGTCTGGGAGGTCAGACACGCCCAGGCCTGCACCTCATGGTCTTCAAGCCCTGTGCAGGCCAAAGGCTCTCACCTGTCCCTGCCTGATTCCTTCTTCCTCTCCCTAGGTCCTCGCAAGGGCCGAGAGGTGTACCGGCATTTTGGCAAGGCTCCTGGGACCCCACACAGCCACACCAAGTGAGTATCAGGGTCCCTGCAGGTCTGGCTTCGCTGCCTTTTAGCTGCCCTCCCTTTGCTCGGCCCGAAGTTCCCTGGGTTAGGTGCAGGCTGCCCAGGCCACGGGCCTCAGTGGGGGCATCTTCTGGGGAGCTGGGGCTTACATTTCACTCCCTCGCTGTGGGGCTCAGGCCGGGACCCTGAGGTCCTGGTGCAGGCTCTTCCTCTTGGCTCCCTGTGCAGCACAGCGGGAGGCTTCACCTGACCCTGTCTCTTCTTTCCACAGACCCTATGTCCGCTCCAAGGGCAGGAAATTCGAGCGTGCCAGAGGTCGGAGGGCCAGCCGTGGGTACAAAAACTAACCCCAGATTTACTGTTAATAAAGAGGCTTTGAATTTGATGGCCTTCTTGTGTTATTAATGGGGAGCAGAGTGGGGACCAGCCGAAGGCACCTGTGAGTGGGAATGCATCTGGTCTGGGGACTTGCCGCTGGGTCCTCCAAGAAGACCAGCCTCCAGGAGGAGCCCTTCCTCTCTGCCTTCCTGGCACATGCGCAGAGTACCTTACTGGGCCAGTTGGACCTTCTACCCACTGGAATCAGCCCCCACTCCTTCCCAGGTGTCTTGTTTTCCTGTTTCCTCCTAGAATTAGCCATGCTGCCTCCCCTAGGATCTCCCTGGCACTAGGGGGTGGGGCTGCAGTGTGGGGGTTGGGAGCAGGTGAGGTGTTGCCCTCTCTCCTGGTAACCGGAAGCCTGAGTGGCAGCTGGCCAGTCGCTGCCAAGTGCCCCTGTGTGGTCCCTCCCTGTGTTTACACAAGGGGCTGGGTTCCCAGGTCCCAGGTTAAAGCCTGACAAAGGCCCGGAAGAAGAGGAGTGAAAAGGAGGTCTCCAGCCCTGATACTGGCTCTCTGAGAAGGCAAGAAGAAGGGGGTAGACTCTGGTTGAACAAGGCCAGCTTTACTCGTCCTCTGCAGGAGCCCTTGCTGTGGTCTAAAGCAAAGCTGTCCCAGGGACTGAAAGGTGGGGCAGCTGGTTTGTAGAATCCTGGGAGAATGGGAAGGGAGACAGGATAGAGCTTGGGCCCTGTCCAGGAAGAAGTGAGTGGTGAGCTGGTCAGGCTGAGGCAGAAGTCCATGCAGGGGTCAGTTTGGGTAGGTCTTGGCATCAGGAGGGTGGGGCCAAGGCACAGGCGGCAGCAGCCAGCCTGAGAAGCTACATCTGGCTAGTCTGCTTTCCTAGGTGCGTTGTCAAGATCATGGGCAGGTGTCCGAGTGTCTCAGCCCTAACTGCAGCAGCCTCAGGGGCTGGGGTATGAGGGTCCAGGAAGTAGGGTGTCCCCCATTGTAGGGAAGAGATTGGCCAGTTCCCCAGGGGAAGGAGCAGTGCGTCGGCTTGGGGCTGAGGCGCATTTCTCCAGGGCTGGGAGGCGTCCAGGATGGTGAGCCAGTGAGCACTGGTGAGCCAGCCGACTGATGGACCAGAGCAGCCCGTCCAGGCAGAGAGACTGGACAGGGGACAGCTGGGAGCTCCACTAGCTGACAGGTATCCTCAGTCAAGCTACCGGTGTCTGTCAAGCAGCCAGGTGGTCAGCTAGACATGCTATTGGCCAGATTCACACTTGCAACCCACTGTGCCATTGGTTAGTGAGATTGGGTGGGTGGTCAGGCACAGGCGGACAACCTGTTTCCTGGAAATGGTCAGGCAGTTAGCCAGACCTTCAACCAGGGCAGCCGGGTGGTCAGTCTGACAAGGTGGAGACATCTTGTGGCTGGCAGGCTGGCGGTCGTGTGGTCCAGCAGAGAGGCTAGCTGATGGCCTGATGCCAGGTGGCCACCCAGACTGTTAGTAGCTGGTTGGAGGTCAGAGAAGACCACAGGGGCACAGTGTTGGCAGGTACTTCTCAGCAGCCTGAGTCGTCAGTAGCCAGTTCACTGGACAGTCCGATTGTGGGGACTGTGAGCCAGTGACAGCACAGGGAGCTGTGGACATTTGCGGGGCTGCCCTGGAGGCCTCAGGTGCCCTCAGAGTCTGTCAGGAGACCCCAGATGGTCAATCCTCCAAAGACGGCCAGACCCTCGGGGACGCAGACACTCACGCCCGTCCCGCCCACCTGGCCCCATGGCAGCCTCCCAGCTGGCAGCCCTGGAAGAAGAGGAACTAGGGGCCGGGGTGAGGTCCCCTGGCTTCTTGTATTCTGAGGGCCAGCGGCTGGCGCTGGAAGCCCTGCTGAGCAAGGGGGCAGAGGCCTTCCAGGCCTGTGTACAACAGGAGGGGCTGCGGCCCTTCCTGAGTGGGGACGAGGTCCAGGGCTTGGCTGCGGCTGCTGAAGACTGGACAGTAGCCAGGCAAGAGCCCGGCGGGGCAGCAGAAAGAGCCACCACCACCGAAGGGGACGGGGGCAGTCTGACCTACTGGCCTGGCCAGTCAGAGGAACCAGCGCCCGTGCTGCGACTCGGCTGGCCAGAGGACACTTCCTGGAAGGGCATCACCCGAGCACAGCTGTACACACAGCCCCCTGGCGAGGGCCACCCGCCTCTCAAGGAGCTGGTGCGCCAGGAAATCCAAGCTGCCCACAAGGTGAGCACCCCAGGGCCCTGGGCCGTTCCTCAGACCTGGACACCTTCACATGCCATTTCCAGGATTGGGCCCTGGCAGGACGCGCATGTCTAAATCCCCAGGACCGCATCCCTAGAGCCCAGGAGGCCCACCCTGGGCCTCATCCTTATGACAGAGATCTGATGTGGGCAGCAGCGGGGGGCGGGGGGTCCCTGCTCTTTCCCTTTAGACAGCCATGAGCCTCAAACCAAATTATGACTGTCCCTCCATCCCAGTCGTGCATCCTATCTCCCACCACCGAGCCAGCAGCTTCCCACCCCCAGCCCCTGGGAAGGCCCAGCGTCTCCCCTGCAGCCCCAGAAAGCCCATTCGCCAGAGGCAGTCTCTGAGTGACTCAGGAGGCTGAGGCTGGAGGATGCTTTTTAGTGGGCATGGTCTTCCTCTGAGGTGGGGACCATTATGACCATTGAAGAGATGGGGAAACTGAGGCATGGGCCTGTCAGTGGCTGAGTGGGGACTGGAACCCAGGCCACCGGACTGGAGAGTCAGGGTTTGTCACCACCTTGTTCTGTGTTAAGATCTGGTCATCAGCTGGGGTTCCCAAAGCACACCTTAGTGGCCCAGCAAGTCAGCCCTCCTGCCCCCAGCACCCAGGCCATCCCAGAGGACCCAGGGCCCAGTTACCCACGGTGCCCTCCAAGGGCGCCCAGCCACTGACCCAGTGGACATTTGGGCACCGTAGTGCCGCGGCTCAAGGGCTCTTCATGGTTGTAGACACGTATTTTCATTTTTTTTTCTCAGCGGTGCTGGGGATTGAACCCAGGGGTGCTAACCACTGAGCCCCATCCCAGCCCTTTTTATATTTTATTTAGAGACGGGGTCTCGCTGAGTTGCTTAGGGCCTTGCTACATTGCTGAGGCTGGCTTTGAACTCATGGTTCCCCTGAGCCAGTGGGATTACGGGCATGCACCACCACACCTGGTTCAACTCCCAGCCCTTTTTATTTTTATTTTGAGTCAGGGTCTTTTTCTTTTCTTTTTCTTTTCTTTTTTTTTTTTTTTGAGGGGGTGGGTACCGGGGATTGAACTCAGGAGCACTTGGCCACTGAGCCCCATCCCCAGCCCTATTTGTATTTTAGAGACAGGGTCTCACGGAGTTGCTTAGTGCCTTCCTTTTGCTGAGACTGGCCTTGAACTTGCCATCCTCCAGCCTCAGCCTCCTGAGTCACAGGTGCGTGCTACGCAGCGACTTGTGATTTTTGATGGACGTTTTCTAGACTGTGGGGGCTGGGCTCTTAGGAAGGCCTGCCTGTTTCTTGTTCGTGTCCAGAGGACTCCCCTTCAGCCCCTTGAGTATCCCAGGTAGTCCAGGCCCTTAACCCCAGGCTCCAGAGCATCTTACCCCCTAGTCCCCTGATGTCAGCCCCCACCCTGAGCGGCTCCCAAATCCCAGACTCCACCCACATGTCCATATGGTCTCTCCCTGTGCCCAGCTGGTGGCTGTGGTCATGGACGTCCTCACTGACCCAGACCTGCTCTCGGACTTGGTCGACGCCGCCTTGCGCCGCTGGGTGCCCGTCTACCTGCTCCTGGACGGCCAGCAGCTGCCTGCCTTCCTGGTGCTGGCCCAGCAGCTGGGGGTGAACCCCTGGGCCACAGAGGTAGGGGCTGGGCCACAGGGACCTGGGCAGCCCCATTCCGCGGCTCTGGGGCAGCACAGAAAGACTTTTCCACGGGGTCCTGAGTCCCTGAGATAGATGCCAGCTGAGGATCTCCCGAGACCTAGTGCCCAAGACACGAGGGACAGCGGAGGTGACATTCCTGGGGGTCCTGGGCCACGGAGGGGTATCCCCAAGCAACTCCTGAAGCTCTATACTAGTGGCTCTGGGGACACCTGAACAGCTTCTAAGGGTCAGGGGCCACCAGGTAGAAACAGCCTTGAGAGACCCCAGCCCGTGGAGTGGGCCTGAGCAAGGGCGTCCCCCCCCCCCCCCCCCCCCCCCCCCCCCGACCCCACAGAACCTGGACGTCCGCATCGTGCGGGGATGCACTTTCCAGAGCCGCTGTCGACGGCAGGTGAGCGGCAACGTGCGAGAGAAATTCGTGCTCCTCGACGGTGACAGGGTCATCTCAGGATCCTACAGGTACGGCTTCTCAGCGTCCTGTACCCAGCTCTCCTGCAGATGACTTCCCCTTCCTGGGTCTCTCTATGCTCATCTGTAAAATGGGCCCAAACACCCTTCCCAGAAGAGGAGGTGTGAGCTCAGGGGGTTGGAGCCAGACCTGCTTGAGTACTGGTTCTGGCCCTGCTGCTGGCCTCGTTAGTTAGCCTTGGGGAAGTCTTTCTTTGGCCTTTGTAGTTCCTAATCTGGAAAACTGGGACATGGACCCTGGAGCTAGATGACCTGGATTCAGTACTAGCTGTGCAATGTTGGGCAATTTGATTCACCTCTCTGTGCCTCATTTCCCCCCTGTCTCCAGACATGAGATGAAATGGTTAGTGCCTTTAGAACAAGATCTCGACACAGACACCACTCACATTTTAGGCTGCGTCTTTGTTATGGGGGTTCTGCCAGGTGCACTAGAGGGTGCCGTGCTGTGTCCCCCGCCTGGACCTAGCGGGTGTTGGTCGCCACCCCCCTACACCCACACCAGTTATAACCACCAAAAACTTCTCCAGAAAGTGCCACATGCCCTGGGGACATAGAAATGGCTTGCTGAGGATCACGGTGCAGGACAGTGGTTTTCGGCCTGCTGTGCACCAAAGTCACTCGGGGGACTTGAAACACAGCTTCCTGCCCACCCCCTTCACCGGCCTGGGACAGGGCCCCGCGGTGCCTTTCTGGCAATTTCCCAGGTGTGGCTGCTGCTGCTCCTCGGGACACACGCTTTTAAGAACGGTGCCTGGCTCGTAACAGAAGGAGTTCTCCATCAGTGTCAGCTGTCATTTATTTTTACGATGATTTTTTTTTTTTTAGTCATATTTCATAGACTCTAAGGTGCCACCAAGGGAAAGAAGTCTCCTGATTGAAATGCAAAAATACACACATCTTAGAACCGATGAAATACAGTCGTGCAGTCAAGCTCACAGGCCACCGGCCGGCACCACCGAGTCAGGCCCCGGGTGCTCCTCCCGGCCCTGGGCTGCGGGGTCGGCCCTCGAATGGATGGAGCCGGGGCCACAAGCGGTCGTCGAGGGCCTCTGGCCATTTAATGGGGGGAAGGGGGAAAGGTGGGGCATCTGGGAGACCGGTCCCGGGCCCTGCCCTCCCAGAGGGCTACAGCAAATGTGGCAGAAGTAGCAAGCCCACCAGCAGGCCCGCCGCGGCCCCCACCGTCGTGCTGCCTGTGTGGCCGGGGCTGGCGTTGCACAGGTGGCCGTAGCAGCAGGTGGTGGTGAGGCTGTAGGTGAGGCCCATGTAGCTGACCGGCTCCTCCCGGCCGCAGCTGGTGGAGCGCACGCAGCCCTTGTTGATGACGGGGCCCACGCCCTGCGCCACCCCGTGGCCTGTGAAGCAGTCCTCGTCATCCCCGCAGCGCATGTGGGTGCCAGGGCACTTGGTGGAGTCAGTCAGCTCACAGAAGATGCAGTCCTTGGCCCCCGTGGTGCCCGGCGGCACAGCCATCATCAGAAGCAGCAGCCAGCCGAGGACCATGGTGGCCTGGCGGCGGGGACGGCACCCAAGCCAGGCCGGGGGCTTCCTGGGCGTCCGGGAATTGCTGAATGAATGACCTCCTGGGACTCCTACCCACAGGACTTCTGCCCCTTGTCCTGGCCACTGGGAGCGTCAGGTCCCGATGCTCTGTGTCCCTCTCAGGAAGCTCTTGAGGCCTCGGGGCGGAGACAGGCCAGCGCCAGGGCCCGACAAGTCTTTGTGAAGTGGAATGCGGTGACCTCACAGACCCCTCAGGGTTCCCACTGACCGCTCTGGGGTGAGGTCATAGGTGGGGGCAGGTGGCACAATGTGCAAGGTGGCCCAACCTGCCGACCTTCAATGGAGCGAGGACAGTCACCTCGCCCAGGTGAGGACGCCTGAGCAGCGCCCACGATGCTGGCCACGGCTCGTCCACTGTGTGTGCTGCGCCCCCCGAGGGTCTGACTTCACATCTCCCACGGCAACCCCACTTCCAGGTGGGCAAGAGTGACACACCCAGGAGTCCCTGAGCCGGGGTCGGAGCCGGGGTCTCGCTTCATTCCCAGGAGGCCGGGAGACAGGAGGAGTCTGCCGGGCATGTGCTGCGCCAAGACTGCAGCCAAGAATTTACGAACACACCCCGCGGGGACAGGGGACGAGAGCACCCACCACCACACGGCTCTCAGGCTCTCCGCGCTGGCCACAGGCAGGGACAGGAACCCATGTCCCCGCTGGAGTCTGCCTGTACTTGGGCTTCATGTTACAGAGGAAGGAGCTGAGGCAGGCAGGGGGCAGGAGACCCAGGGCCGGCAAACAGCAAGTGCTTAATGAATGCACTCTTTCTGGGAAGCAGCTGAGTTTAAGACAAGCCTGTGGGAGCCGGGAAGCTCACCCCGACTCTCTCCAGCTGAAGTGCTCCTGGCTGGGGCCAGGCAGAGCCCAGGTGTGAGCTCCAGTCTGACTCCAAAGGACAGTGTCTTGACTCATGTGGTCCTCACGTCTGTCCCTCCGTCCTGTACCTCTGTTGTCCCCCTTCTACAGAGGGGGAAACTGAGGTGCTAGAGGCCAGGACCTGTCTGAGGTCACCCCACCTGCCTGGGGACCCGGGAGGGGACTGGTGATGGGAACCAGGCTTCACAGAGACCTGACCCCTGATTCTGGTCCCCCAGCTTCACGTGGAGTGACGCCCGCCTGCACCGCGGTCTGGTGACTCTGATGACCGGAGAGATCGTCGACGCTTTCAGTCGTGAGTTCCGGACACTGTATGCAGCCTCGTGGCCACTCCCACCCATGCCCGCCCAGGGCCCCCTCGTCAGCGTCGCGGGAGACGGGCAGCCGGCCCGCAGCCCACACCGTGTGGCTCACCGCTGCCCTGTAGCCCCCGTGTCACGGCTGCCACCCAATGGGCCACTGGCCCACCGCCTGGCTGCCTGCCGCATCCTCGAGGGGGACAGGCAGGAGTCCCCTGCCCCACCAGGGCCCGCTCTCAGTGACATCCTAAGAAGCGTGCAGCGTGCCCGGACTGGTAGTGGCCCCCCGACTCGGCCCAGCCGCTCCCTGTGGGACCTGAGCCGCCTGTCCCAGATGTCAGGCTCCAGTGACGGTGACAATGAGGTAAGACCTGGTGGCTGCTGCCGGAGGACAGAGGTGACAGCAGAGGCCCAGGAAGGGGAAGGCAGCACCCCCAGGGGTGGGCTGGGTTCCGGGGTCCTACTCTGAACCCCAGAACAGGAAGTGTTTTCCAGGGCCAGGGCCAACCGCACGCCCAGCACCGGGGAGGTACGAAGAGCGAGCTGCTGGCCTCGATGTGCAGCTGCGGGGCCCATTCATGAGCCTCCTCCATGTGTTGGGGGGCAAGCTCTGGGTAGCAGGGGGCAGAAAAGACCCCTGAGCCTTGGGTACCACGAGCTTCCCTGAACCCCAGGGTTCCCATCTAGGGGGTGGGCTGAGCAGTTGAGCTCCTTCCAGGTCTGGGGGAAATGGAATTCATGTTTTATTGATTTCATTGCATTCTCGCCCCGGGCCGGGGAGGTCACACTGCTGTCATGCTGATTGTTACCAAGGGGAAAGTGGAGGCTCAGATTAAGTAACTCGCCCCAGATTGGAATAACCATCCTTCAGATAACCAACCTGCTTTGTCACCTCGCCATGCCCAGCACTTTCACAAGACTGGCTACATTTAATCTACCCACTTCACAGAGGGGGAAACCAAGGCCCAGAGCCCTGGCTGCCTCCTGGGTGGGCTTTTCAGTGGTCCGCTTCCTGGATCTGAGAGTCACAAGGCTGTAGGGGGAGAGGATTATGGGAGCCCAAGGGATTGTTCCTCCTGCTGCTCAGACAATGAGGTTCCAAGGAACCAGTTGGACCTCACTGGAGGACCCTGCTCAGGTGACTTTTTCCTCTGAGTCTCCTCAGCCACAAAGTGAGCTGCTGGGGGGGTCAGAGCAGCACCACGGAGGGGAGACAGGCAGACACGCCTATGGCGCAGCCCCTCTGAGCTGGACCCCAGCCTCAGTCTCCCCATCTGCTAAATGGGAGCCAGAGGCTTCTCCCCGGGGAGAGACACCCCAGGACTGGCTCCCTCCTCCCAGTCAGCGACTTCCTGGAGCTGGAGGAGGAGAAGGGGGCTAGGCAGGGGCAAGGTTCTCACCTCCACCTCCACCTCGTCCCCTGCCACCCTGACCCTGCATCACCTCCCTTAGCAAATATTTGTCCCCCCCTCCCCAGGCAGCTGCCAGCTGCTTCCAGTTCCTCCCACCTGCAAAGCCACAGGAGGGATGTGGCTCCTTGCCCCCTCGGGTCTGGGGGTGCCAGACCTCCCTCCACCCTACCTGCTTCCCTGACATCTCCCCCACCTCCCTCCCTCCCTCTTCCTCCTTCCTCTCCTCACCCCCATCTTCCTCCAGCTCCCCTGCTTCCTCTCCTCCTCCTCCTCCTCCTCCCTCCGTCTCCCCCATCTAACCTTCCCCTGCATCCCCTCCACCTCTCCCCACCTCTCTCCTCCCCTCCTCCCTCCCTGGCTCTGGGCCCCAGAAGCCTCCTCCCCGTCTCCTCCTCTCACCTCCTCTTTTTCCTTCCACAGCTCAAAAAGTCCCGGGGCTCCAAGGACACTCCTGCCAAGGCCCTGATGAGGCAGCGGGGCACTGGAGGGGGCCCGTGGGGTGAGGTGGACACCCGCCCTCTGGCCTGGTCCCAGCCCTGGGGTGGCCCCCTGCCCCTGATCCCTGCCCGCCGCCACCTTCGCTATCTGTCCCCAACCCAAAGGAGGTTTGGTGATGAGGCTGCATCCAAGCTCCCGGAATCCAGAGGTTTCCCGCAGCCAGACTGGGCCTCCCGCTCAGGACTTGGAGGGCGACCCTGACAGGAGCCCAGACAAATGTGCCCTCTCAGAGACCCCTGCCTGATGCCGTGCCTCAGACAAGGCCTCTGGCCTCAGGCCCTAGGCCTCAGTTCGCGGTCAGGGAAGTCGCAGGAGGCCTCCATTGCTGTGGACCCCGGGACCCGTTCAGCCAGGAACGACTCTCCCCAAGAGGTGGCTGAGCAGCCCCATGGAATTCTGTGGGACATGCCTGAGGAGTCCCTGGACAAAAGGCCATGCTTCCCCACCTCCCCCCCCGCCCCCGCCCCCAGAAGCTGTGAGTAAGCGGAGGGGGGAGAGGAGAGAGCCGGGGAGCCTCAGGGGAACAGGGGCTGAAGGTCCTGGTCACAGCTGCCCAGGGGTCTGGTGGGGGCTGGGCTGGCGCTGGGCGTTCGGGGAGCACGGAGCGGTGGATCCTCTAGGTCCCCATGACTTTTGCTCAGAATAAAACTCCTTCGTGCCCCAAACTTGTATTTCTGTAGCCAGGCCCCCAGCCCCAGAGCGCAGCGCGGCCCGGAGAAGCTGTGCCCAGCCCGGGCCTCGGTAGCATCTTTGCCTCCGAGCGGGGCTCCTGAGTCACCAACCTCATTGGCGGGACAGATGGGACCCAAGGCCCCGGTGGAACGCAGCCTGGGCGCCAGGTGCGGGGTCCCCACCGCCGCCCCAGCGCCCTCGCGCGCCCCCTGCCGCCCTCGCGCGCATCAAGGAGCCGGGCTGGAGCGACGTGTTTATTCGGGGTCACGGGTGGGCGGGATCCGAGGCCTGGACCGGGCGGGGATCGGGCTCGGGCTCAGTCTCCGGCTGGGGCTGGGGCTGGGGCTCGGGGTCCGGGCTGGTCTCCTCCGGGGCCTCGTCCCAGGGAAAGGCCTGCACTCCGCGCATCTGCTCCCGGTACACGCGGTCGAAAGCCTCGCTCTGCGCCACCGTGAAGTGGTTCTTCCAGTCCCCGCAGACCCCTGGAGGGGACGGAGGGAGGCATTCCAGCATCTTCCTTCACAGCACCCTCCACCTCCCCAGCGACCTGTCACCCCCTTTACCTAGGAGGGGGGACTCCTACATGGTCTGTCACCTACAGGACTCTGAATCCCACCTCCTCCCCCCCTGGCACCCCACTTTGCCCCTTGACCCTTTGCCTAGCACATCTCTTACAGTCTGGGGGTCGCCTCCTCTGTCCTGTCCCTAACTCTTGTTGCTGGGTGATGACTGGGCCCCTCCCCTGAGGAATCCTGGCAGCCCCAGGGCTCCACCACCGCCTGAGCCTCAGGTTTCCTATGTGGTCATGGGTGATCAGCCGGGCACTGGAATCCTGGGGCCCATGTCATTCCCTTCACAGTAGCTTGTAGAGAGGCCACCGGTCTCCCTGTAGCCCGGCCCTATCCGGCCCCCGGGTGCCTCCACCCCAACCCTTGGATCTGTGAATATGTAACTCTGCATGTCAACGGGAACTTGGAAGATGTGGTGAAGGGTCCTGAGTTGGGAGATGGTTCTAGATTATCTGGGTGAGCCCAATGTCACCACAAGGAATGCTTTCTCTCCCCCCTTGTACTGGGAATTGATCCCAGGGGCACTTTACCCCAAAGCTGCAGCCCCAGCCCTCTATTTTTAAATTTTGAGACAAGATCTCTATAAATTGCTTAGAGCCTCACTAAATTGCTGAGACTGGCCTCAAATTTACGATCCTCTAGCACCGGCCGTTGGAATCATCACGGGCGTGTGCAGCACAAGGGGCCTTAAATGAGGGAGGCGGGAGGACCGAGGGTGCTCGGCTGCTGGCTTTGAAAATGCAGGAGGAGGCCAGATGCTGGGATGTAGGTTAGTGAGAAACCAAAAAGATTTTCCTGTGAAGTCTTCAGAAGATTTCTGGTCTTTCTGGCCTGATGTTACCCAGGCAGACTGATTTTGGATCTCTGACCCCCAGAAGTGTAAGCTGAGGACAGGTGTGTGCTGTTTGTGGCCTGGGTCAGTTGGTTAGAGCAGGACTCACTGCTTCTACCCCTGCTCTGTAATCCGACACTGGGGTATTTCTTCTTAAGGCCAAGGAGGATTTGTGGGCCCTTGGCCTGGTTGGCAGCCTGGATCGGTGCCCATGGGGTCCTGTTCCCTGGAGAGGAGAGGGAGACTCAGAGGGCAGAGACTCGTGGGCCAGGCTCTATTCTGAGCTCTGTGAGCGAAGTCAATCCTGGGTTCTTAGTGACCCTGTTCACCCCTATGCTCCAGCTGGGAAAACTGAGGCCCAGAGAGGCTAAGGAACTGGCCCAAATCACACAGCGATCTGATGGCCTGGTGGGGCCTGAATCCCGGAGCCCAGAGCTCCCTCACCTTTCCGGAGGAAGGCCCCTTGGCGGTGGTCCAGCAGGCTGGTGGGCAGCAGCGTGTAGTTGGACATGGAATTGGCCTTCATGGCACCGAAGGTCGAGTGTGCCACCACAGAGCCCAGGGCCTCCTCGTCCAGCGGCCGGCCCAGGAACTCACAGATGCGCTGCACGGAGCCTTGGAGGTCCTGGGAGCAGCGGAGAGTGAGTGGGGAGGGGTCAGCAGCGGGCTGGATGCCAGGTCCTGGCCCTGGGTGGCCGGGTGCCTCTTGTCCCTGTCTATTTTCCCACCTCTGTCCAAGGTGAGGCCAAGGGGTTGGGCCTCGCAGTTTTTGGAAGGTTCTGAGTGGGGGCTGGGTGCACCTGAGGTCACAGCGGGTCAGAAGTCAGCTCAGGGCCTTTTGGAGCCCATCCTCCCTCGGGTCAGAAGCAGGCAGCACCTGGTCAGCACCTGCTGGGCCCCCTCGGGAGCGCCCTCTGTGTCCCAGCCACAGGGCTAGACTCCCAGGCCTGGCCACACCCCGCCGTCCCCCTCACCCTACACCCCTGTCATCAGCTTGTCCCTCCTGCCCTCTGCCTCTGCTGTCCTGCCCCAGCCTCCTCCCAAGGCCTCCCACCCTGTCCTTCCAGAACTTTCCCTCCTATACTTTCCTCCCTCCAGACCTGGCACTGGGCTGTCAGAATGTCCTCTGTCATCGATGCTTTCTGAATATCACCTTCCTTGGGACAGTGATCATTGAAATCACTGCAGAACGAGCACCTAGTGTATACACCAAGCTCTGGTCCAAACCCCTGATGTGCATTTTCTGATCCTGTTATCAGCTTGGCAAGTATCATCTGGTTGGTAAATGAAGGCTCAGAGAGGAGAAGACACTTGTCTAAGGCCACACAGCCAGGGAGAAGCTCAGACTCATGTCTGAAGCTCACAGGCCCCTCTGCCACACTGCCTTCCGTGATACTCAGCGCCCTGCGCGGCCCGCCTCCAGGTGGCTCTGCGGCTGGACTGCCCTGCTCGTCCAGGTCACCTCTGTTCCTGACCCTCCATGCCTCTGTCTGCTGGAACCACTGCTGGGTCCCAGGAGTTCCAACCCCAGGAGCTCTGTTAGGCTCTCTGGCTTTTGGTTTGGAGAACAAAGCTTGATGGAAAGGGTCCACCCACCCGGGGACAATGTGCTCACGGTGGCCGCCTCTTCCACCCTCCCCTGTTCCATCCAAAGACATTTACCCGGATGGAAAAAAGAAATGACCGTGGGAGCCTGGGGGAGGGCTGTGCGCCCCCGGAGAGGAGGGGGATGGCCGCGTGGGGCGACCACGGGAAGCTGCATCAGGCAGGTAGCCTGGCTTGTCCCTGCTGTGGGGGGTTAAGTGCCGTCACCTTGGGACTCAGCACCCAGTGGCAGACACTCGCTCTGTTTCCCGGCCAGGTCTGCCCTCTCCACCGCGGTCCACGCGGTGCTCACGAGGCTGGACCTGGCCAGTGGTCACAGTGCCCGGTGCCAGAATCCCCGAGCCCCAGCATTTTAAGGGTGAGACTTCTGGGCCCCAACACGTTTCTGCTCCTGCTGCTGCTGCCGGCTTGGGTGCTGGGATGGAGCCAGGGAGCTGCGCCCCTCGGCCCCCAGCCCCAGCCCTGCCCGAGCTGAGAGTTTCAAGGGGACTTCAACTTTGTGGGACACCAGAGTCCAGACCCTTAGCAGGAAGGAGTGGACCGGGAGCATGTGGAGCGTGCACCCGGGAAAGCGCAGGCTGGGGCAGGGACCTGGAGCGGAACAGGCCGGGGGCTCAGGAGGCCGAGGCAGGAGGATGGCGAGTTCAAAGCCAGCCTCAGCAACTCAACGTAGGGAGACCCATTCTAAGAATAAAATAATTTGAAAAAGGGACGGGGATGTGGCTCAGTGGTAGAGTACCCCGGGTTCCGTCCCCAGTGTCAGAGAAAAAGAAAAAAGAAAAGAAAAAAGGAAGCTTGGATGGTTGGGCTTGTTGGCTGTGGATTGTTCTGGAAGCCCAGCATCTGTCCGACAGCTGGCCAGGGCCATAGCCACCACCCTGCCTGGCCCCTGGGAGCCACCCCTGAGTGCACCAGGCCAGGCGCCCCTTGACCTGTGCCTGCCCCAGGGCCCTCGGAGGGGTCCAGCTGGGATCCCAGTGTGTCCCCCAGGCTGCTCCTCCACTGTGTCCTCTGCCGGTCCTCAGGCTCCACACAGCTCCCCTTGATCTCAGTCGCCCTCTCCCCCCTGCTCAGAGACAGGTGCAGTCCTCCCAGCGGCTCCACCTTCCACCCTCTCTTTTCCTATTTCGCTTTGTCTTCTGCAGGGATCTCTTGCTCTCCTGTTCTATGTTTTTTTTTTATCGGGGTGCAGGGGCAGATACTGGGGATTGAATTGAACTCAGGGGCACTCGACCACTGAGCCACCCCCCAGCCCTTTTTTGTATTTTATTTAGAGACAGGGTCTCCCTGAGTTGCTTAGAGCCTTGATGTTGCTGAGGCTGGTTTTGAACTCGAGATTCTCCTGCCTCAGCCTCCTGAACCACTGGGGTAACAGGTGTGAGCCACTGTGCCCAGACTCTTTGTTTTCCTAAGAACCCATCAAGGAAAAGAAGCAACCTCAGGGCCTTTGCACTGGCTATTCCCCTGCCTGGGACACTATTCCCCCTCCACGTCTCCATGGCTCTCTGTCTCTTTCTCCTCCT